GTGGCTGTTGTGTGTAGTGTTTACCCTCACTGTCAGGATGACTTGTGCTTTGCCCTGGCAGACAAGGCCCTGCCCTTCCCAGGCTGCCTAATTGGAGATGCAACAACCAGGATCTGTGACAGGGTTCAGCACCCCATGTACGACATGCCAGCTCCCATGGTGCACGCTTTATAAAATGCTCCTTAATTCAGGGACAGAATATCATTAACTTTGTAAGTGGATGAATACAGTGGACAACCAATTTAATTAACTTCTAATGTCGGCTGTTGGATGGGAGATGGAATGAAATTATGTGTGCATCTCTCGGGCCAACAGCCAGCCTGGATGGGGCTTGGTGCCGAGGGTCAGGAGGTGGGGAGGGAGCAGCTTTGTGCCATCTCTCCTATCCAGCCCTAGGAGCTGAAATGCATCAGCTCTCAGTTTGTACTGGTTACAAAGGAAGACACTCTGTGACAGCGACATGCTAAATGCAGCCTTTCCCACGTGCATGTCCCCCACTCAGTAATGCTAGGGAGACAGGCGGTAATGCTGCCTCATCCAATTAGATTGGCTGCCTGTGAGTTTATTATACAGGGAAGAATCAATAAAGCTCTGCATTGATTGAAACAAAAGCTTTGTTTCATTTATTATTGTTTATAATCTAATGAATGTTAAAATAACTTTGCTTTGATTTATTGCTCAATCTGTTAAATTGTTTTAAAGCCAGTCTTCTCAGGGCTTACCTTTGGGGTATGATCAGAAGAGTATTTTCTGTGAACACACAGTTTCTCAGAAGCTGTGCTTGAGGTCATTTCTGAGACTTGAGCAGACAGTTGAGTGTACCAAGTCAGAGCTGCTCAGCCAGCTGGACCCTAAGGGCACCATGCTGCTGGAATTCCTCCAGGAACCAATCTCTGCTGGGGGACTCTTATCACATTCCTGCCCTCACTGAGCTTCCCCTGTAAGAAGGCAAGTCAGAGGCAGCTGGGATATGCAGCATTTTGAGGGAATAATGGGGTGCTGGGTTGGGTTTCTGCCGCTCGGAGGAGATAGTGTTTCCGAGGAGACTTGGCATAGCAGGGGTTCCTGTGAGAATCACCTGGAAGAGGAGAAAGAAGCCATGTGGTGACCCCATAGACAGAGATCTTGGCCAGCCCATGCTTCGTGGCCAGCAGTGCTGGAGCCCTGTGAGTGGCAGGCGTGCTGACTTGTGTGAGAGTGTGGGGCAGAACGTGGATACCTGTGGAAGGCTGGTGGACTTCTGAGTGGAGAGGAACCGAGGGCCAATAGCAGTGGCACACGGAGTACCCATTTGGAACTGATGGCTTAGTGTTGGCAGAGGAGAGGATGGAGTTTAGAGATGGACAGTGGGTCTGGGGTCTGCCAAGTTTGCAGTTGAAGTGGTGATGGGCTGCAGAGGAGGCGTGTGGTGATGGGAAAACGCTGGGGGATCAGGGAAGTCCATGCTTTTCAGGGGAGCAAGAGGAGAGGAGGGTGAGTATACATCCTAAATTGGGAGATTCAACTTCTGAGAGATCTAAGAAGGATTGTGAAAGCACCAGAGGACCTTCTAGAAAGGGCCAGTGCAATACATGTGACCTTATCAACCAAAGATGGGGTTGAGGCCACCCTAGAAGGAGGAGGAGAAAGACAGAAAAGGCTTTGTTGGGTACCCTATCCAGATCCATTTGTTGTCACTGAGGGTGGGGTATGGGATGGTGAGGAGACTCCAGAGAAGGGAGTGTGTTACCCTGGAACTCAGGAATAAAAGTGCGGACCTATCATCCCATCACTCAGGAGGCTGATGCAGAAGGCAAGCCTGGACCATCTGAAAAGACCCTGTCTTCAAAAAGAAGAGAGGAGGGAAGGATGGCAGGGCGGGTGTCCTGTGTTGCTGAGGGAAATGTCTGTCTGATTTGCAACATGAACACCATTGAAGAGTTGGAATAGAGGAATATTGTGGTGGTGAGAGCAGAAGCAAGATTGGAAGCAATTTTTTTTTTTTTAACAAAAATTCAAAACAGTGTTAGCAAGCAGAATTCCACAGGATATGAAAACATGATGAGATCAAGTTGGGTCTTTGCCTCAGAATGCAAGACGGGCATCTTCACATGGGTGCTTCCCGTGCAGAAGTGGGGACGTCTCAGCCTCTGATGTCCTAAGTTTGTTCTCAAGAAAGGAGAGCTGTCAGAGCTTGATCCTGAGAGAGTGTGTGTCCTTGAAGGCAGCACAGTGGGGCGAGGCTACCTCCTTCCTTTGGGTGGGGGTATCTGCCAGGTATAGAAGAGGTGTATGTGAGGAGGAGGAGGAGGAGGAGGAGGAGGAGGGGAGGAGGTGTGAATGGTTCAGCCTACTCATGGTTTATTAGTCTGTCAATTCTAATTGGAACAGTTAAGCTCTCTGGTTGGTTGCAGGCCTAAAGATTAGTTATTGTTATAGTTTATAGAACTTTTTCCTGCTCATAGATTGATTTCATTTTATAAAGAAAGAAAAAATAAAACAACCAAACCCTGGAGCTGGAGACACTTTATCCATAAAAACAATATGGTAGACTCTTATGTGAGGTATTGCTTGTCCAATTCTGTATTGCCTTAGGGCCTGCCTCATGTAGGAGATGCTTGGGTGACCCCCTCATTCATAGAATCTGAGAGGCAAATGGCACTGTTGTGTGTCTCTGTTGATGAGTCAGTTTGGCTTAAGTTTAGGACTAAGCCATTTCCTGGAAGAGTGAGCTCCACACAGGAGCCTGGGTTAATGGTGTGCTCTTTGCTGCCAACTTCCCAGCAGAAATGACAGATTACCTAAGCCAATTTGTTTGTCACATTTGTTTGAGAATACACAGTGATAGAGGTGTTTCTGTGTGGGCTTCTGCTCTAGACCAGGAAACTCCCAGGTTTGTATATGGCTGGAGCAGGAGTACACCAAACACATTGCTTCTTGACTCTGCATCAGACCTGTCAGTAGTAATTGACCTCCGTTGTTCGGATTCTCCTGTATGTACAAGCTGGGCCTACCACTGTTCCTTTCACCCAATGGAGATATGTGGGTGGCTGCACTCTCCCTGAGGCTGGAGTGTGTCTGGATGGTTGCACTCCCCTAAGGTTGAAGTATGTCTGACAATGCCGTTAATACTTCATTTCTAGTCAGTGTGGCTGCTACGGCCTGGCAAGCAGGTCCACCTGTCCAGGCTAGCTCTCCTCTGCTCACTCCCTGTCACATACTAACATAGCTGGGAGTCTGAACCCAGTGTCCAAAATGCTCTTCATAACACTATCTAGTTCCTCTTCACCTGAGGCAGGGAGAGAGGCATCCTGCACAGAGCTGTGTGTCTTGTGGCTCTGGAGCAAGTGTTAGGTTCATGCTGGGTCCAGCCCTGCAATTTTCTCTTCTGGCCCATAGAGGAGGCTCAGTCCCTGCATCTGTATGAAGCATGGTCTCTCCTATTGATGCAGCCTTAAGAAGGCGAACTGAAAGCTGGCTGCTTCCAAGTTCTGCTGTGCAGGTGCCTCACTTATGCACATGTGACCAGAGGAAAATGTGACCGTGGGTCTGGCTGGACTAGCCACAGAGCAGAGGAATCTTCCTGCTACAGTGCAAATGGGGACAGGACGTGAGACAGCAGAGCCCTGGGATCTTCCAGAAGCGAGGATAGATGTGATGCACAGAGCATCTCGTGAATGGGTGTCAGACAGGATGTGGGTGGACCGGAGGAGGAATGAAGAAAACCCACAAAATTCCAGAGGACACTAGATTCTGGGGCTAAAAGCGTGGAGGTGAGCTGTGTGGGAAACTAGAGGGCTGGGGGATGATCAAGAGATAGCTGGGGATTGATAAGGACATAAGATGGCAAAAAGAAGAAAGGGGTTGGATAAATAAAGCCCTTCCCCACCCCACTGTGGAGTGGCCAGCATGGTCTAGGGTAGCAGGTAGAATTCTACATAAGCGTATACCAGATGAGGTCCAGTTTCATGAGGATGTCATATGTGCAAACCCATAGACCAGGCACCTTGAATGCAAGGTTTGAGTGGAGTTTCCTCCATTGACAACCAGAGTTTATATTATAGAGTGTGACAGCCAGGGAAAAATTAAAACCAAGCAGTATTACACAAGAATTTGAGTCTTACTTTTGAAAGGTCAAAAATGCCATCTGTGCTGCCAGCAGATATGGCCTTGGTCTCGTGCTTTGCTGTCCTTGGAGTCTGATGGCAAGTATAGAGCAGCCTATTCTTATGTGAACGCTGAAGGAGAAGGACCAAACCCATCCTTGTGTGGCCATTGAGCTGGGTGACCAGACCTATTCCTTTGTAGACTGAGCTGGGGGATAAAACCTTAGACTTTGTGGGCATTCTGGCCAGGGGAAGTGGACTGTTTCTGTGTGGATGCTGAGTTGGGGGTCAGACCAACTTTGTGTGGACATTGAACTGGGGACCAAACCCTTAGGTGAACACTGAGTTAGGGGACTAGACGTGTTTCCATGCAGACACTGAGCTGGGGGACCAAGATTTACCGTGTGAGCAATCTAATGGGGTCCCAGACTATTCCTGTGGGGACATTTGAGGTGGGAACTGACTAACTTCTACACTTCGGTCCTTAATTATTGAAGTTATTTGTTTTCCAACTCTCATTTTTCATAGTAGTAAATCCCATCTGTGCCTGTGTTGTGGTCATGGGTAGATGGCGGTGGTTGTGGGATCAGATGAGTGAAGCCTGGGGAGATGAGCCTGGATCTCCCGGGGATCCAACTCCTGAAGAGTGTGTGGCCTGGCATGTGCAGCTTGGGACATCAACACGGCAGCTGTTTGCTTGTTGGCTGAACGGTGCTGCTCCGAGCTGACTGATTTAGCACTGTGCTGAGCTGGCAGGGGGAGGTGCTGGCCAGCCCATGGTCGCCTCTGCCTCCGCTGCTGGGACTGAATGACAGTTTGTGTCCTCCGCTGTCCTTGCAGAAGCATTTTTCTGTGGCCCCGAACCTCACATAGTAGAGAACCATGCCCTGATCATCTTTCTCTTTACTCCTACAGGCACTAGGAAGCTTTTATTTTCTTCACGAATCCTTAAAAAACATCTACCAGTTTGACTTTAAAGGTAAGACTCCATGCTGGCTCCCATGATCAGTTTCTGCAGCCCATCCCTTGGTCGGTCCTCCCCAGGTCTCTCTGGCTTTGTTGTCATGAGAAGGCCTGCATGGTCTGGGTTTGATGTCACTTGCACATCTTGTAAACCTGGCACCTTGCCATTCCTGCGGGGAGACGCCACTGACCTGCTCTGCCTGTCCTGAGTCACATGCCAAAGCTCTGCCCATCTCAGTGGGCTCTAGCTTTCTTCCCTTCTCCTCCCCGCCCCTCCCTTCCACTTTCTCTTCCTCCCTCCTTACCTCCCTCTCTCCCTTTCTTTTTTTGTTTATTTGTTTTGAGACAAGTTTCTCGGTTTAACAGCCCTCACTATCCTGGAACTCATTGTATAGACCAGCCTCTGCCTCCCGAGTACTGGGATTAAATGAGTGTGCCACCATGCCCTGCTAGCTCTAGCTTTCATATAGGAACTCAAAGGAGATAGTAGTTTCCTACCCATGTTCCTTTGAAATATAAGAAAATGAAATGGAATGGGGGGGTTGCATATTTCAGAAACAGCTGGCTGTCATTTAGTTGCTGGTGCTGGCCCTGCACTATTTGCCTGAGTGTCACTGCTAAGATGGCCTTTCTGTAGTTCCCTAATCTAGAATCTTTGGGAGCACCTGTTGCCACAGTGAGAGGGATTCCATCAGGGCCCCAACTGACTATTCCGTGCTATTGCTTCTGTTGTATGTAAACCTTCTTGAACTCCATGCTGGGGCCAGATCATGTCACTTGGAAAAGTCACTGAGTTCATGACAATCATAAAAGTAACTGTTATATAAGATGTTCTTCTCACACATTTAAATGTTTGGTTCCAGCTGGTGACTCTGGTTTGGGTTGGTAGTTGTGGCATCTTAGGCTGTGGGGCTTCACTAGAGGGTACTAGGTCACTGGGATCTGACATTGAGATTTAGCCCAATTCTCCTTCCTGATCTCCAGATGTGAACAAGTTCTTCCCACCAGAGCCTCAAGCCACCTCTGCCAGGACCCCTGCTAAGACTTCCTGTCATGATGGATTGTGCTCTCAAACCCTGGGCCCAAATCATCCTCTTTTAAGTTACTTTTTGTCAGGCATTTGTAACCAGTGACATAACCACTTCCATCAGCTGGTTCGGGTCCACTGTTGGTATGCACCCAGAGAAAGGTCCCCCTAGGAGGTGGAGGAACTATCTGCTCTACATCACTCTAGCAGCCTGTCCAGCCTGTGATGAGCAGGATTCTGGCCAGCAGAGTGGTTGTCACTCTGCCTCGGCAGCTTCTTCTCAGTACAGCACTTGTCTTTCTTACCAAGCATTTGGCCAGGATGAGGTGGCTAGAGCTGCTTTTCCCAGACTCCATGAACATTGGGTACCAGTGCATGTCCCCAGCAATGATATCTAGATATGGACTATTTTCTGCCATGCTAGGGGTAAGACACAGAATAGCTTCTTAAACGTGAACATCTGAGTGGTGGGGCACACCTTTAATCCCAGTTCTTGGGAGGCAGAGGCAGGCAGACCTCTGAGTTTGAGGCCAGCCTGGTCGACAGAGTGAGTTCCTGGACAGCCAGGGCTACACAGAGAAAGCATGCCTTGAACACCCCCTCCCCGCCCTCCAAAAAAGAACATCGAACTCAAGAGGTTCTGAATCCATGGAACAGTTTTCTTAAGAAACCATTTGCATACATATTTTACTACTAAATGAAGTCAGTCATATTGTGCCTTGCTAATACACAGTTCAGTCTGCAAAACCTCCTGTTGCCAGTAGGAACTGAAGCAGTGCCATTGTAGGCATGTGCTGAGCATGCTTCTTTCTGGGATGAGAGTTGATTCTGCAAACATATTGGCCTGACCTGGTGGTTGCTGGCACTGATAGAGCCTGCTGCATCATCTCAGGCTGGGGTGGGCACACAGTACTCGCTCTCCTGGCTTGATGAATTACAGCAAGAAATCTAGAATTTGTGAAAAATCTTGAATAGGCTTAAGAATTAGTAGTCCAATTTGAAAAGTAATAACATTGTTAGAAATTTAAGGAGTCTCTAAAAGTATACCAGAGAAAGATAGAGGAGACTTCTACTTTCTAGTCCAATATACATTATTTGGAAGACATGGTTCCCATTCTCCCAGATGAAAACAGAACAGCTTTTTTTTTTTTTTTTTTTAATCCAACAGGAAATAAGGTCATAGGGCAAATTCATCCCCCCACAGACAGGTGGGTGCAGGGGCATGGTTGCCAGGAGCAGGCATATCTCTGGGACTGCAGCTGGTGGGTACATGCAACAGGATCCAGCTGGGTCCAGGAGGCTGTTGTGGATAAGCTTGAGGAGGAAGGTTCCCAGGATCCATGTGTTTGAGTTTTTCTTCCAGGTGTCCCACAGAGATCTCATAGTCAAGGGCAGGTATTCCCTTCTGCTTCACAGGGCCTGCTTTCAAGGAGACCTATTCCCTAGCTAACCAGACTCTCATCAGAACCCATTTGGCCAAGACGTTGAGATACTCAACCCAGCTTCTAGCCTTCTTGTCTTGTGGGATGCAGGGCTGCTAATCAGTGGGAAGATCACAGCCCGGGAAGACTTAGGGGAAGACAGGTGCTGCTCTGAGCCTGTGAGAAGACGTCTCACTGGACATCCTCAGGCAGCAGAGACCAGCACCAGGTTGGGGAAAAGGGAGACTGGGCGCCCGACACTGTATGGCCAGGGCCGTGGCCCCAGCCCAGCACATCTGTCTGCTTCTTTGACCCAGTGGCTCATGCTCTGTCCTCAGCAACATGCTAAAGACTTAAAAATCAGGTTAAGGAGATAAACCAAGTCTCTGGCACAGACTCAAATATGACAGAGATCTGGAGCGATTGTACAGGGAATTTAGAGTAAGTGTGGTTAATATGCCCAGGACTGAGGTGCAAGAAAGTAGAAAACAAAATTCACAATAAACAGAAAAAAAGAAATAAAAATTGGAGGCAAAATAATGGAACTGAATACAGGAAATCAGAGAAAATTGGTCCTTAGAAAAGATCTATTAAATTGATAAACTGTTAGCCCCATGAACCAAGAACAAAGAAGAAGGAAGATACAAAATATTGATAACAGAAATGAGTAAAGGACCACCACTGATAGCAGGGTAATAACAATATTATAACAATAATATTGTCTCTGCCTGTACGTTTAATAACATGATGGAGCAATTGCAGGAACATAAAGTCTGAATACTTGTGCAAGGACTTTGAAGTTTAAAATACCCACAGCTGTGAGTGAAGGTAAGTCAGTGGTAAACCTTCTGAAAAGCAAGTGCCAGGTCTGGTGGGTTCACTGGTTAATCTACTAAGAAAACCACAGCATTCTCTCCCAAGTTCCCAGGTATAAGCTAAGGAGCACCTCATGACTTGTCCTGCAAGGCCAGCCCTGCTTGAATCCCCAAACCAGATGGAGACATTGGAAAGAGGGAGGTCAACAGACTGCCTCATGAAAATAAAATTCAAGAGTTCTCAGGAACATGTTAGCAAGGTGTAAGAAGGATTATACACTATGAACAGTTGGGGTTTACTCTAGACATGCAATTGACATCACATTCCAAAATCAGCCAATAAAATTGCTCACACCATCTGTTAAAGAAAGAAAACCTGTGACTGGGTCAGTAGATACAGAAAAAACATATGGCAGAATCCAGCAAATACTCTCAGCAAAGTAGGAATAGAGATGACCCTCCTCCACTAGACAAGAAAATCAGCTACAACCCCCCCACTCACCCACCCACCAGCATGCATCAGAGTTAATGAGAAACTAGAAAAATGAGCAATGTGTCATTACAGAGGGATGCTGGTTAGCCACCAAGAGAAGTGAGCAGAGGAAAGATCTGGTCGGGTGGCTGTACATTGCAGGATCGAGGCTGTAACTGTCTGGAAATGGAAGAACTCTAGAGATATAAAGAATGTGACTAGGTGGAGTGAAGTGATGTGCCTGGGCACAGAAGACATTTTGGACAGAAAAACTGGTGCATATGGTACATGACATTTGTGTGCATTTGTCAAAACCCATAGCAATGCAGCATGAAAAGTACACTGAACTGTACTGAAAAGTACACAGCCTGAAGTACACTGAGCTCCAGTGGGTAGCACGGTCTCTGCAGACAGTGTGGGATAGTTTTATGTGCAGTCTTTGCTGCCTCTGAAAATTATATATTTAAGATATGTCCTTCCATCCCACTCTCTTTTTTATCCTCAGTGAACAAGATGGTTGCTGGATTGCTCCTAAGCCCAATGGCTTCCCTCAGCCCCCGCCATTCCTCCACTTACATTCACATGTAGACCTGCTTCCCCTCAGCCATGTAGCACAGCCCTTTCTGTATCCATGAGGTGTTCCTCCTTGGTGTATGTCTTCAGCTGAGAGACGCAGGCTCCTAGGAGAGGTGTTGCAGTTCAGCCAGAATTGCTGAGGAGCCCAGAGTGAGCCGAGCTTTAGAGTGGTGTCTTCTCTCACTGGTGTGTGGCAGTCTCTGACTATATAGCTGACTGTTCTGACTGCCCAACTAGTCACAGGAATACACACGTGACGGGGTGTTTGAAAGCATTGTGTGTCTGTTCTTGCCTCTTGCCTAGCCTCTTTCCTGTCTGAGTGGGCCCCTGCCATTGCTTTTTCATCTCAAGAGCCCAGGGCCCACTGAGGGGATGGATGTGATGGCAAGAGGTGGGTATCGAACACTTTAACTTTGTGGGTCTGGTGGAGGGCAGCCCACAGATAAGCCTGTTGGGGAAAGTTACCTGCCTGGGTACCCAGGAGTGTCTTTTCGGACCTTCAGCCTCTGGTGGAAGCTTCCACTCTTCAGGCTTCCCGGTGGCCTTCCACCAGACACTTGGCCACCCTAGTATGTCTGGGTACTACTGTATGTGCCAAATACCCTCCTGTGGGATTGATGGGCATCTGCAGCAGATGTTCCCGGGGCCAAGTGCACTTCTGCCCCAGCACAAGGCTCACTGGGACCTGTCTGACCTGCCTACCCACCCCAGGTGCTGGCTCCATGTTCTGCTGAGGCCTTGTTCTCTCTGAGTGAGGAAGACACGGAGTTCCAGTTGCCCTTCTGCAGTGAAGGTGGTGGTGTTGGCTTCAAAGCTAAGCTCACTCAGGTTCTCCAGTATCTACTAGAATCTGAGGAATATGATCAGAGGCCCGTGGTGCATTTAGCTCATAGCTGACCCAGTCCCTGGACAGGCTCCCATGGGCTTTCAGGTCCCTGTTGCATTCATTGTGAGCCATCAGTACAACCCAAACCAGATCGTAGACCTGAATGTGGACCCCTGACGCTAGCTGGTTCCGTAGAATCAAAACTTTGTTTTTTACCTGGGTTCACCTCCATCCCTTTATGTCCCTGGTGCTACATCCCTCAGCCACTCCTGCTGTCCTACTCTTACCCTAGCATGGAAAGCACCCAGACTGTGAAAGTCCTGCTGCTCCTAGAATGTGAGACACCCCTAAAATCCAGGCAGCCGATGGTCCAAAGCTAGTCTCCAAGAACCTGCTTGACAACCCAAAAGCTTCTGTTTTTTTTTGTTTTGTTTTGTTTTGTTTTGTTTTCAGAGCTGAGGATTGAACCCAGGCCTTGTGCTTGCTAGGCAAGCGCTCTACCACTGAGCTAAATCCCCAACCCAAGCTTCTGTTCTTGGCCTGGGGATTTTTGGGTGCTGGGATTGGTAGCCAGGGTACAAGACTGTCTGGGCTACATTCTGGCCTTAGGGACCAAATGTTGCTTGAACCTTATGGCACCTTGCTGAGGCCAGCAGTTCTCTTGTCCTGCCTGCGAGAGCCATGAGAAATACATTCTCATGCTTGTTGCACGAATCAGGTATTGGGGTGAATGCTGGAAGATCAGAGAAGCAGAACAAGCCACAGCTTCCTCACCTCACAATTCCTCAGCTGATCCTGTTTCTTCAGACCGGAAGCCTCTGAGTTCTCATCCAAATGGATCTCAGCTGAACTGCTTCTCCAAAGCCTGAAAGCTTAACCAGCCAAAAGCTTCTAGTTTCTGGTCCTCACACCTTATATACCTTTCTGCTTTCTGTCATCACTTCCTGGGATTAAAGGCATGTGTCACCATGCCTGGCTGTTTCCAGTGTGGCCTTGAACTCACAGAGATCCAGACGGATTTCTGCCTCTGGAATGCTAGGATTAAAGGTGTGTGTGCCACCATTTTCTGACCTCTATATCTAGTGGCTGTTCTGTTCTCTGACCCCAGATAAGTTTATTAGGGTGCACAGTATTTTGGGGAACACAATATCACCACATTTCCCCTTTTTTGTCTAAAATTTAAAAAGCTTATAACTAATACATGAAAAACTATATCCAATAAGTACAATAACTATATACAATATATACAAGCAATAAATACTTAAACAATGTCTAGTCTATTTGCATTTGACAAATTCAGAGAAAATAATTCCATTATCTATCTTATTTTGGTAAGTCCAAAATGTACCTGATTTACTTTCTATCCTAACAGAACTATCTTATAATGTCTTTCAAATTTATTACTTAAACTTACACCTCTTTAGTGAATTTCTTTTCTAAAAATGTGTAGTCCATTAACATTTGACAGATTCAGACAAAAAAACTCCATTATATATATTAACAATGTCCAGTCCAGTAACATTTGATAAACTCAGACAAAAAATTTTCATTACTTATCCTATGTAAAACAAGTAGTTCCTTTCTAAAAGTAGATTCAATAATCTCCTTTTTGATCTTACCATATCCATATTCTATCTTTTTTCTTTTCATAATAGATTCAGTAATCTACCTTTTGTCATTTTTATATCTTCCCCTTTTTCTTTTTAGAGTAGATTCAATGTTCTACCTATTTACCCTATTATTTCTTTATCTTTTTTCTCAGAGTAGATTCAATGATCTACTTCATATCTATATTCTCTTTTTTCTTTTTCTTTTTTTTAAACAAAAACTCTGAATCTAATTTCCTTGTTCAGCTTTTTTCCTGACCATTAACAACTTGTAACCAACCATCATAAACAGTGACAATATCCATAACTCATTAAACAACCAAAAACCATGCACCCCACCTCTTGGGAATGTAGGCATCATTTTCTTAAAATTACTTCCTGCTTTCTGGGGGCGAAGGCATCTTTAAGGAATCCCGAAAAGAAAATTTTTGGGTTAATTGTCAAGTCCTGTATCATTTGTCCAGTCGCTGCATAATGAGGAAGTGCAGGGCTTGTTTCAAGTCCTTGTTCAAGTAGACTGTCAGGCTGGACCATCTCAGCTAGCCATCTCAAAACTGTCCTGAGCAGTTTGTAGTCCAAAGTCGATCTTTCTGTGGTGTTAATCGGCTTAATGGCTTTATCATAGTCTGTGTGGAAACATCTTTGTGGGGGCCCGTCATCCTTTTAAAAATTTCAAAGTTGCTGTTAGGCTTGGTCATGGTTCCCTGAAGACATTTTTTTTTTCTTCCTCTGTGGTTTGGAGCAATCACAGTCTGATAAATGTCTGTCTCTCGGAACCATGAATGTTCTTCCCTAGAAGAGAAAATCTTCACAGCAATTTCTCCCCACTATTTGTCTTGCCACACTTTTCCAAACTGACCTTTGCAGATGCTTTCTTGTAACAGGATGGTCCTGGCAATTCTCTGAACAAGTAGCAGTAAACCCTTCATCCCAGGTAGCAGCATCACTGCAGTCACCAACACGATGAGAAGGAGCCAGCAACTCGGAGCAGCAGCCGCTGCCTCCATGGTCCTGCTGCCACCGTTTGTGGCTCAGTCCCGACCGAAGCTTCTCTTTAGCAAGCCTCCTAAGCCGGCCTCAAACTTGGGATTCTCCTGCCTCTGCCTCCTTCAGTAAATCCTACCTGCATGTGCCACGACAACCGGCAATGTGTAGCTTGGGTCTGAGTTGGGGCCCACAAGGCCACAGGCAAGTGGCTTTTTTGAGAATTCGTACCACGAACATTGGGCACCAGATGTTACACAAATCTTAACAGGTCTAATTAATAAAATCAAACCTGAGGCCAGGTATTGGGGTGAATGCTGGAAGATCAGAGAAGCAGAACAAGCCACAGCTTCCTCACCTTGCCAATTCCTCAGCTGATCCTGTTTCTTCAGACTGGAAGCCTCTGAGTCCTCATCCAAATGGATCTCAGCTGAACTACTTCTCCAAAGCCTGAAAGCTTAACCAGGTTCTAGTTCCTGGTCCTCATGCCTTACATACCTTTCTGCTTTCTGCCATCACTTTCTGGGATTAAAGGCGTGAGTCACCATGCCTGGCTGTTTCCAGTGTGGCCTTGAACTCACAGAGATCCAGACGGATTTCTGCCTGTAGAATGCTAGGATTAAAGGTGTGTGTGCCACCATTTTCTGGCCTCTATATCTAGTGGCTGTTCTGTTCTCTGATCCCAGATGAATTTGTTAGGGTGTACAATATTTTGGGGAACACAATATCACCACACATGCTTATCATGTATCACTGAATGTGGGACACTTGTCCGTAGAAAGAACCTCTCCCAGACCTGCCTGTGGAGGGACTCAGAGCAGGGCCTGTCACAGTGCTGTCAGTCCAGGACGGGTAGGGTGGCAGCTAGCAAGGCAGGTCTGAAGAGTGCCTGCCCTGTGTCCCTGTCTACATCTCATGTAAAAATTGTTCCCTGGAATATGAGTAATGTCGTTCGTGTGTGAAGAGGAAATCGATGTTATTAAATAAATTCCTGTGAAGGTCTGAGTGAATGGTAATTCCACAGCCCTCTTAACTATATTCACGGCTTTCAAAGAGGGTGCCAATTAGCCCCTGTAAATCTGCAGGCTGGGAGCTCTTAGAGGATAATGAAGTAGAGTGTCAGGTTCCAGGTCATGGAACAAGAATTTATGAGCCACAGGCACCTCTGGAGCAGCAATTGGCCCCTTGCCTGCTTGGAGACATCCCTCTGACCCAGGCGCTGCTGTGATAGGGCATGGCATTCCCCAGTAGCGTGTGGCTAGTTGATAGGCTGTGGTGATGGTGTTAATTCATGTATTCCTCCTATCTTTTCCAGCTAAGAAGTATAAAAAAGTCACTGGCAAGGAGATCTATTCGGACACCTTGGAGAGCACACCCATGCTGGAGAAGGAGAAGTTCCCACAGGATTACTTTCCCGAGGTGTGTGAGGACTGGTGCCTCCTCATCAGCACCCTGATTATCAGAATGAGTGAGTCAGAGGTGATGTAGGTTTGGACTGTGTTCACTGTCAGCGGTCACAGCGCTGTCACACTACAGGACTGTTGTCCCTGTAGTTTGGAGGTGATCTGAGCTGCCCTGGATAAGGGCACAGAGAACCTAAGAGCTCAGGTTTTGTTGTTACTAAACTTAAAGCATCATAAGGAGGCAGGAGAACCATTCTCCAAAGACAAGGAAATGTCTTCATTCTCTTGGGCTGACCCTGTGGCTGGAGTCACTGTGTGCTGTGTCTTATATGCCATGCTGTGCAGGAACTGTGCACAGGGTACACCTTCACCTTCCTTGGGGCTTGCTGGAGTGAGAGCTAAGTCCCAGAGGAGGCCTCTGGGTTGCCTCAGCCAGTGAAGACACAACAGCTAACACAGAATTGGTGGGTTAATGATACATGCTAGCCATTGCACCTGCTTGATAGAGTTTAGAAATTAAAAAGCCAGAGCTGCTTTCTGCCTCTCTGCTCAGATGTGAGTAGCTTCCTTCAGGCTCCATTTTGACACCTTGCCCTGAGTCATCTGTTAAGATACGGTAGATGTTGGATGCCCTGGTTGGAAGGTTTTTAGGTGCCAAGGTGGGAAGAACTGAGAATTGGCCCTGATGACTGCTGGCTGTTCATCCATGTTGCACCTTTGCCATGGTGTTTGGGGCACTCTAACCAGCTCCAAGGACTGCCCTGTGGTTCTCTCTCTTAGATGGCTGCACCATGTAGTAGTACTTTTGCTCAGAGCTGGTTTTCATCAAGGCCACAACTTTATTAACTTGCATTGTAATTGTGCCTTGCATGAAAGGATCATGGCCACCTCTTGTCACCTTGTGGCTTGGCTTCCCCATTCATTGTCCCCAGGCCAGGGATGTTCCCAATCTCTTGTCCTCTGCTGGCTCAGGTCCACCCTGGCTCAGATTCTTGGCCCTTCTGCTTCAGGCATCCTGAGGGTGGGGTAGGGTGGCAGGGAAGGTTGCAGCCTTCTGTGGTCCATATGTAATGACCTGAGTCTGAATGTTGCTGATTTCCTTGGAAGGACCCCATGGATGTTGTTCCCATGAAAAAGCCATTAGCCACCATGCCAACTTTAGTCTAGTTACTCCTGGGTTTGGGTTTCTGCCTGCCCAGGGCTCATCCCAGTTACCTCAGAGGTCTCTGGGATCTCACTCACCATTTAATCTCTCTTTCAAAATGGCCAGGGCTTGAGGGGCCCAAGTAGAAATGATGGGTGCTGGGGCAGTTCTTGCGTGTGTACCAGTTCCCTGGGGAGGCAGTGTTTGAGATAGCCCTCTAATAAGCATCTCCTTTCCCCCTTTAAATACTTTTTAAACTATCTTACACACTGAGAAGTGTGGCAAGTAGACAGACATGTGAGCCCCATCCAATTAGAGTGAAGCTAAGACACTCCCTGTGTCTTGTTGTGAGTGTATTGAGGCCCTCACCCTATACTCCCCAGTAGGCTCTCCTGAGGACAGTGTCTGCCCTCTCGCTAAAAGCCCCAAATATGCCTGGTCTCTGATGAGCCCTGCACTGTGCTCTGTATTTTAATTCTTGTGGGTATGGTTGCACCGTGCATCTCCCATACCTCTACATATATCAGCAGATGTGGTGTTCCCCACAAGAACCTAGTGTGTAGCATCCTTCCACATTCATGTATAGCCTCCCTGTTGCCTTCTTCTCACATCACTCCTTGAATTCTAGAACTGGAATCCCATCACAGCTTCGTCTACTGCACTAGAGGCTCAAGATGTATGCCACAGCAAAGTGTATCCTGAGTGGGCAGGAATAGGGGAAAGGCGGGCTGTGGACATCAAATGGAGGATTCTTGCAGAGATGTGCCACTGGTCCCCAGCAGCCCTCAGCCCTTGCTTGTAGAATTCTTTCAAGGGCCTCCTTGTTCCTAACTGTAGCCTCAGGTCTTCTCTGGCTAATAGTTCTCTTGCTTTACTGAACCTGGAGGCCTCAGGAGTCAAGGTCTGTGAAATCTGGGTGGTCTTGTCTATGACCTACCACCCATATAGGGAGGATACCCTTTACTCCTGAGGCCAGTTCTCTGTCCCCTTATGCAAAGTGGAACATGCATCAGGACAGAGTATGGGAAGCTGACTTCCCCCCATAGAAAAGTGACCACAGCCTGGGTCCATCCCTTCCTGTACTTAGCAGACCTGGTCAGGGGCCTCATTCACGTTTTCTGCAGGCAGAGAAAAGGATACACCTTTGTTGTTTTATTGAGACAAGATCTCATTGTGTAGTCCTGTCTGGCTTCACAGAGATCTGACTGTCTCTGTCTCCTGAGTGCTGGGATTAAAGGCATGCAGCCCATCCCTAGGATATGTCTTTGAAGAATGAACTCTCATCATAGGAAGGCCACAGGATGTCTTTAGGTGGACTCCTGTCTTCGCTTAGAACAAGCTGCTATCCTTGATTGGCAGCTGGTTCACAGACCCCTGTGGTGGCTGGCTCCTGGGCCTGCAAGGAACATAAGTGCTCAACTGGGGAGTGTCTTGGGGTTCTGTGTATCAGCTTTATGTCTGACTATGCCAATGCACCCTCACATTTCCTTTCACCATAGTAATAAACAGAAACAAAATCTCACTTTAAAGTCACAAACCCCAATACTTTCTGTCAGTTCTGTGGTACTTCTTAATGCCTAGAACATCACAGAGCATGCTGTGTTCCACAGGTTAGGACCTGGGGCTCCAGTGCAGAGATCACCAGCAATAGCTCTGTCTAGACCCTTGGGATCCGCTCCCAGACTTGCCCCTTCATGCCTCTGCCAGGCCGTCATTGCACCCAGCACATTTAGGGGAGAGAATTAGTTGAAGACTGATCTCTCTTTCTTTTATTGCCATCACTTAAGGATAATCTAAATGTAATTACTGTGATGGAGGCATAATGCAATTCCAAATAATGACGGCCCTCTGCTTCTAAAACTAACAAAACTTTCTCTGCTGATTTATGGGTGCTTCTGGCTCAGTATGAATTCCAAATGACGCCTCTGGGAGCAACACTCCAGATAACGCAAGGCCATTTTTAAAAAGCAGATTTGTGTAGTCGATCGGACCGAGTCATTTTTTTCCTCTTGGCCGTGGTGAGAAATTGGTTGTTACCATAGATCACAGGCCCTGCTGCATGTGCCCATGAAAGATGAATTAATTCCACTAATGCTCCAAGCAGGCCTTCCTCAGTGGGGCCGCTTGGTGATAACCTCCCGCAGCCCCTCTTTTCTCCGCTGCGATTTATGCTCTCTCAGTAGATGAAGCTGCCTGGATTTGCAATCCATCTGCCGGCTCAAGGAACCCTATTAACAGGGGACTGAGCAGAGGCCGCACGAGGTGAGCACTGTGTTGCCCTCCTGGGCCTGTGTGGGTTCCTTTTCTGTGGCCATGGTCCCTCTAAGAGAAGAGATGCCACCACCCCAGAGATACGAGAACCTTGCCATCCCCATTGGCTCAGAGGAGTTCATAAGTGAAGGTTTCAGAGGGTGGCCTCCTGGAAGTGACCCATCAAAGTCGAGCCCCCCTACCCTCTGCACACTGCTCCCATCTGCAATGGCCAGGTGACAGCGCCATAGCTGGGGGCGTCTAGGCCTTCCAAGACCTTTACTATGGCCTGGGTTCCTGCTTCCATGCCTATCTGTCTGGGCCTTCCCCACCCTCCACACCAAACACAGCCAGTCATAAGTACATAGGTAAGTGTGTGTGGGTGTGTGAGTGTTTACATGTGCATGGGTTAGTTCCTTTGCATGTATTTATGTGTGCTGTACATAGAGGGTGTCAGGGAGGTCCCACTAAGGAGTCGCCTTTTCAAAAAGGCACCTGATGGTCTGCTGATGGGGGTGCTGGGGGTGCTTCTGTGGGCTAGTCCCATGTAGCAACTACCCATGTGCTTACACTTGACCATAAAAAGGAAATGAGTCATCAGAAAGAAAGATAGAACCTTGGTCCAGGAGCAAGGAAGTGGATCCCAGTTCTGTTCCCTTCTTCTGGTTGCTGGCAGTCTAAGGAAGTTTGGGGCCCATGTCTTCTGGTTGAAGGAAGAGCTTTGCTGTGACGGCCTCCTTTCAGGCCACTGAAGGGAGGGTGGGATGCTGGAGGACCATCTTTTAAAGTAGCTAAGTAGAGAGAGCACACTGGCCCTTGCAAGGACAGAGATGCATCCCAGCTCAGACCCAGGACATAGACAAGCCCAAGGCCATATACAGAGTGCCCTGGGTGGTGGCTACATCTTTCCATTCTGTCACAGTGTTGGCAGTGAAGGCTGAGTGGCCATAGCTGTAGTGTTGAGTGTGCCTCAGAGGCAAGATGTAAATATTTCACCAAACTGTTGGATTATACAAATATTAACTGTATATGTCTTGAGATTCACCTGCAACTCCTGTCTCACGTCTAGTTAGAATCCTAGTTGTAGTTTTTACCAACATCTGTTATAGAAAAAAGTGCACTTTTTGCTGTGTATTCAATTAGTAATTGATGTTAAAGTCATGCTCTATTATGGAAACTTAATCTCTACAACAATGTACATGTGTGTGTGTTTTCAAGATACACAAATGTACAAATGCATCTTAATGTACACAAAATTTGAAAACTGAGGAGAAAATGGTTCCTGGTCCTAAAATCCACAAATGCCTTTCATTTGCAGTGGCAATGAAGCTGTTGCCCACTATAGAATTCTAGGCCAAGGGCAGGTGTTCAGTTTGGGGTCAGAGCTTGGGAGTGTGACTGCAGGTGGGCTGGGCTTGCTGCTTCTCCGGAAGAACCCTTAGGAAGGGGAGAGAGGTGAGCCCAGGAGGGCTGATCCTCCCTGTGGTGCACACTGGCCTGTGCCCTGTACAGCTCTACATGCTGTGAGCCTGTGTGTATTGGACCTTAAGACAAGTGTAGGCCTGGTCTTCTAGAGCCATTCTTGGATGAAGAGGGACCCATGCTGTGCTGCATTCATGAATTCTCAAGGTGCTGGGACTGTGGTGAGTGCAGGACCACACAGAGTGATGCTTGGGCTTGAGAGAGGTGGCCAGGTATCTTTGTACCACAAGGACATCTGGTGTAGATTCTATGTTAGTTATGATGGTCAGGGTTCTTTTGAGGAACATAACTTATAAAATAAATCTCTATCTAGTATCTATCTATCTATCTATCTATCTATCTATCTATCTATCTATCTATCTATCGGATTTATTAGAATGATTTACAGGTTGTGATCCAGAGTGTCATGGAGTTAATTTCTGAGCTATTTCTGTTATATAAAGGAGTAAGATGCTGAACACAAAACTATCCTACCCTACATCTCTGGATCCTTTTTGTTTTCTTTTAGATTTATTTTATGTGTATGAATGTTTTATCTGCATGTATGTATGTGCACCATGAATGTGCCTGGTGCCCAGAGAAGTCAAAAGGGAATGCTGAACCCCAGGAACTGGAGTTAGAAATGGTTGTGAGCCACCATGTGTGTGCTGGGAACCAAACTTGGGTGGGTCCTCTACAAGAGCAACAAGTACTCTTAACCACTGAGCCATCTCTCCAGCCCTCTTTGCATCCCTCTTAAGGCAGAGAATGTTTTGTTAGAAATTAACCAAATTCCATTGGATGGCGGTGGCACAGGCTTTTAATCCCAGCACTTGGGAGGCAGAGCCAGGCAGATCTCTGTGAGTTCGAGGCCAGCCTGGTCTACAGAGTGAGATCCAGGATAGGCACCAAAACTACATGGAGAAACCCTGTCA